TTTATTGGGTTAGCTATTGTAACGTTAAAGACTGAATTCACACCATATACTAAACAATGTGTTAAAAGCATCGGGCCCCAACCTTTTGGGCCCAAGGGACTGGTTCTGTGGAGAGGTTTTCCTGCTAACCAGAGGTGATATGGTTTTGTGTGTTGTTTGCATCACAGATTGTTTGCATGGTCCACTTTCTGGCAGGCTGTGGCCTGCTGCTGGTCCATGGACTGGGGGTTGAAACCCGTGTGTTAAAGAATACTCAGGGGACAAACCTATCATAAGATAAACATAAAGGTTCCCCTTGTACGTATGTACTAGTCATTCCCGACTCTAAGGGGTGGTGCTTATCTCCGTTTCTAAGCTGAAGAGCCGGCACTGTCTGAAGACATCTCCTGGCCTGCATGACTAAACGCCGAAGGCCCACAGAACGCTGTTACCTTCCCACCAAAGTGGTCCCTATTTTTCTATTTGCATTTTTACATCCTTTCAAACTGCTAGGTTGGCAGAAGCTGGGACAAGTAACGGGAGTTCACTCCATTACACGACACTAGGGATTCGAACCGCTGAACTTCTGAACTTCCTGATGTGAACATACATTATGAAAGAGTTGGGAGGGGAGGATAAAACAAAGAAAACACAAATATCAGATCAGAAAGGAAAGAACTAAAATAATAACAATAGGAACACAAGTGTGTGTATGCAGCAAAGGGAAACTAAATAAGCAAAAGGCAGTGAAGGACTGAAATATTGAGTTGAACTAGGCTTCCATATATTTAGCAGTTCTTCTACATATGTTTTTAGTATTTTAGACCATAACTAGTTTATGAACATTCCAAGTGTTGAAAGAAAAATGTCAGTATAGAATGCTGGTAGACAGTATAAACTCTGTGGGGAAATGGGTCAATTGGTTTGGAATTGAACAATGTTGGAGCAGACGTCGGGCAGGAAAAGTTTCTTCTCTTGGTGAGAAGCTTAGGCACATCGGCAGAAGTGCTCAGATGGCAATGTTGCTTTTGTAAGCTTTCAGCCAGAATTAAACTCTATCCGTCCATCTGGAAATAATGAGGAGCTCCTAACTCCAAATTCTTGTCATAACCCGGCCTGTTGTTTAATTCCATAATTTTACATTAAACTATTCTTGAGAAACTTGCTTCCTTTGAGCACCAAATTTAGAAAAAAAGACAAAAGGTCCCCTTAGCCTTTAGCATAATTGGAAAATAAATAGCATTATTTTGTTGATTTTATTCCACAAATAATATCAGATTTGCCAAGATATGCTGAAGGCAAAACTAAACTTGCAGGCTATTCTGGTACAAATATAATAGAAATGCAAATATTTCCCTCACGTTCATCACTTGAACAATGAGCTTTAAAAAATTAAACCATCCTCTGCAGTTTGTTAAGATTCCTAACACTCTACTTTGGAAGGCACTGTCACATTTATGTTTTTATGTGATAAATTTGTTAAGTGAGTTTTGCCCCATTTTACAACTTTTCTTAACCCATTTGTTAAGTGAATCACTGCAGTTGTTAAATTAATAATACAATTGTTAAGTGAATCTGGTTTCCCCATTGAATTTGCTTGTCAGAAGGTCGCTAAAGGGGAACACACGACCCTGGGACACTGGAACTGTCATAAATATGAGTCAGTCGCCAAGCATCTGACTTTTATTCATGTGACCATGACCTTTTATTCATGCTACAACAGCCACAAGTGTGAAAAATAGTCATGTCATTTTTTCAGCACTGTTGTAACTTCAAATGGCCACTAAATGAACTGCCTAGAGTTTAAGTCGGCGACTACTTGTATTAACAATTCATTTTCCAACATTTTTGTTGACTTCAAATTCAATTGTTCTAGCTGTTCTCCAGGCATTTGAGTCAGGTGTAGGAGTTCTGTTGTTGTGGGTGGCCATTTCCTCAGAGACAGCCATTTTGGAAAAGGCAGCACTGATCCCACATGACAGTAATTCAGCAATCAGGGTCAGAAATGCTCTGAATATTTCAGATGTTCATCACTTTGGATAACATGAAGGTCCTAACATGACACATGATTCTTTCTTTTAAGCATCTGATGTCAAAACAGATCAAGCTGGCTACTTTTCTGCTTCCAGGCAGAATTTATACGAAGAGTTCTTGTATGGAAACCTCTGTTATTACAGGGATTCCACACACCATGAAGAAAATGTCTAAATTCCACCTTCTTGTTTTTCTAAAAAAAAAAAAAAAGATTTTCAGAAAGCAGTGGTGGTTACTAACTAGTAACATTCCCTTCTCCAAACACAATCACATTTAGATTTTTAAGAAGATACAGCTGCATGAAATGGCTTTACCAAGTTATATTCATATGGTTTGAATTAGGTTCTTGTAGACATTACAGAAGCTTCTTACAATGGAGATTTCTTAATGCACATTTGTACTCGAAAGGAACTTAACTTTATCATATTATTAATTCATGATTTTTATCTTTAAATATGATAAAGTATAAAAATGATGGATGTCTTGGAGTTCAGTTTGCAGCCAGAACATATTGAAAGGCACAGTAACTATTTCTTGCTTCTCTACTGAAGTGTAAATTGTCTTGAACGGCAGCTTTAATTAAACTTAGACTGGGCCAGGCGTCATTCTGTGAATCCAAGTTTTCTGCAAGGAAGGCGCTCTGCAAGCCACTTCTGTAAAACTGACAGGAGCAGGTGCAGCAACATTTCAATCAGTTTCAACAAAAAGTTCTCAAAAGACCACCTGTCTTGTTGGGTTTTAGCCATAACCTTTCCACATTTGTTCCCCAATAGAGGATTATCCAGTAACACACAACAACAATACACAGACTATTTCTCCCAGCTGCAATTTTTATTTTGTTTATTGGATTTGCTTTTTAGTTACTTATTTATTGGATTTCTAAGGTTGCCAAATCATCGAATTACATAAGGCAGCATGTAGGACAAATTAAAAATACAGTAAAAGAAGGACCAGGTAATAAATAGCTGTCCAGGAACACAATAGCAGTAACACTTAAAACTTATATACTGTTCCACAGTACTTTACAGCACTATCTGAATGGTTTACAATATCAGAATATTGCCCCCAACAATATGGGCCCTTATTTTACTGAGCTCGGAAGGATGAAAAGCTGAGTCAATCTTGAGCCAGTCAGGATCAAACTCCAGATTGTGGGCAGAGTTAGCTTGCAGTACTGCATTCTAACTACTGTGCCACCAGGGCTCCTACACACAAAAAAAATAAACTAGTCATAGCACACCAATGGGCCCCACCGCCCAGCCTGCTGGAGGAAGCTGGTCTTTATGGCTTCCCTAAAGGACAGCAGGATTGTGCCATGTGGGGCTCGGAAAGAGGTAGGAGCACCAATGAAGAAGGCATTCCAGGGTCCCTAACTTCTTGTGCTATTTAAAAACATGGCTATTGTGCTAATGTGCTATTTAAAAACATGGCAAGAGATTTCTATTATCAGACTTGCAAGTTTCTGTTAATGTGATTTTATAATAAAGTAGAACAAGCTCATATGATCATGATTCCTGTCTACCAGGATCTACCAGAATCTACCAGATCTACCAGAAAGGCAGGCAGTTGCCATAGTACAAACTGTGACGGAACTATGAGAGACCTTCCATCTCTGGTTAGTTCTTTTATCAAACCAAAGACTTGAAATAAACAACATGATGTGATATTATGCCCTGTGCTTCCTCATGCAACTACACTAACTACTGCTTGCAGAGCAAAGACATACATGAAATTGATAATGCCAAGAGATAGTGACTGGCCCAAGGTCACCCACCCAACTTTGTGCCTAAGACAGAGTTAGAACCCGTGATCTACTGATTTCTAGTACAGTGCCTTAAGCACTATATTCAGGGCTTTAGAAAGTCAAACAATGACAACAGCAGCGAGATCAACACTACATTGCGACAAGAAATAATTCCCAAATCATGTACATTAATCAAGGATAAAAGAGTTAGTTTGTACAGTAGCTGCTTTCTGAGAATATGGGCACTCCAATATAATGGGAACCACTCTCACACAGCCCTATAATACAGCTCCATCAAGGCTATAAACTGAAATAATCTCCTCCAATGAATCTTCTATGATACTAAACCAGAGGAAGTTCTTTTTAAATTGGAAACATCTGTGCATGCAGCTAGAACTCAGTGCTGCACCCTGTGCTAGAGAGATTCTGAAGTCTAGTAACACATCCTAAATTCTACCTTGCAGGCAAAGGTAGCCAAGAGAAATGTTCAGTACAGGTAACATATGATCCTGAACCTTGCTCCAATCAGCAGCCCGATTGCTGCATTTTACAAATGCCCATTTTTGGATATTTTTCATGGGTAGCTCCACAGAACCAAGGCACAGATCATTCTTATTACAGATAACTGGCCAGGAAGGATTGCCGTTGGCACAATGGCTGCCATTGGGCAAACATGTTCCTTTCTCACTTAGTGCCATCTGCAAATCCAGTAACAGCAAGGAGTCAAATGCCACTCCAAAATTGCAAATCTGCTCACTCTAAAGGAGCATGGGAACTCCATTCGGAACCAGCTTCCCTTTAATCACCTTAATTTTTTCCTTGCCAACATTACCTCCAGCCTGTCTGGATTGAATTTCAGCTTTTTTTAAAAAATCCAAAGTTTTTTTAATTTTTAGTACAAATTTACACATATTATAGAAACGAAGTGTTGATCGGATCTTTCCTTTTACATCCTCTCATTTACATAATCCATTTTACATCATAGCTTGGTTTTCACTTTCAGCCAAATTATTTTCTTCCATTATTTTCCATTTTTATACTTATTTTTTCTTAACACATAAACAATATCTTCAATTGCCCCTTCAAAAATTACACCAAATTATCATTTCATATTTCTCTATTGGTCTATTTTACTATAAACAATATATATCCTTTAATTAAGTTTTGACATAGAAAGCATTTCTTTCAATTTTTTTCCACAATTAACAATATACTATAATTTCTTTATTTCTTAATTAGTTAATGCAGAGCTGGCTGGAGAATTCTGGGAGTTGAAGTCCACAAGTCTTAAAGTTGCCAAGTTTGGGAACCACTGAGTTAATGGATTGAATTTCAGCTTTGTATTCCTCATTCAGGCGATGATCAAGATCAGACATCAATAAGGATTTTTTAGGACTGGATGGTAAGATGCAGTAGAGCAGGATGTCATCAAAAATTAAGAGCATTTCATTCTAGAGCTCTGAATTAATCCCTCCAACTATTTCAAGTAGTTGTTAATATGCAAGGTAACACAGAGTTCTGTAGAATGCTATCACTCAACTCTCTTCAGCACATTTTATTTAAAACACTGTGGAAATTATTCATTTTAGCACCCCTTCCTAGGTACAATTCTAGTTTTTAGCAGACAGGAATACTTTCAATGGTGGCCCCAACTGTATATGATTACTGATAAACTGAGAAGACCAACAAGGAGGCCGAAAACTAGCAGGGCACATGCCTGTGAATAAAAGTGAGACAAACAGAAGAATCTTAAAATCAGAAATCAATTACTCTTTTGTTAATTAAAGCAATCATTGTAACGGCAACGTTTTACTTTTTAGATAGTGGTAGAGTTGCATTTAAAACACATCATATCAACATGTTTTCACATGGATGTGTGGGTATCATTGAGAAAAGGGCAACACCCTGCAATAAACAAGCTTGATTTGTTGCTTAGGAAATGATTTTAGCAGAACTGCCCTTGTCTACTGACTATGGCTATAGCAATGAGAGCTGCGCAAAATAACTGGCCAAATGCCAAACCAAAGTGGACTGATTCATGCAGATGCAAGAGATGTCCAAATCAAAGCAAGCCTCCTCCTCCAAAAAAAAAGACTCATTCCAAATCTGAAACATGCTGAAGTTTCATTAGCATTTCAAAATTTGAAGCAATCCAGACATGCAGAGAAGCATCTGCCAAAAATTCATAGTTACCCAGACGGAACAGCAGCCAAATATTGATACATTTCTCCCTAAGCGCTTCATATAAGGAAAACTCCACTACTGGGGTGGAGAGGGGAGTGTATTTTTATGCCTGATGGTATTGACTTCAAACCAATTGAATAGATTTACTAGGGGTCTCCACTGACAATGTCTGGGTGAGGAATGATGAAATTATTTATTGCAGAATTATGGCAGATAATTTTTGAACTTCACTGTCTGAATTTTCTGAATGGCGACATTTTAGGATATAAATTTGACTGTATTTGTGTTGGGAAAGGAAGAGAATGAATTACAGATTACTGAATGAATGTGCAGGAAGAGAGTCCAGACAAATGCAGTTATCTTTCACACAACCAGATTATGTCCCTTTGCACATTTCTTATGTATTTTAGTGCATTTAGCAGAAAGCCTACTCCAAATGTCAGTCCTTAAGTGAAAAGTATTTCAGAAAGAGCAATAGAAGATATTTTCTTTGCAGGCCATGAATTGTTGTAAATTAGAATAGACAGTATTAGATGTAGAAGTGCACATTATTATTCTTACAGTACATCGACCCTTGCTATATACCCATGATGGCGAACCTGTGGCACGCAGAGCCCTCTCTGTGGGCAGGCGCACCATCCGAGGTGCGCATGTCAGCTGGTTGTTGGGTGTCCAAGGCACGCATGTGCGCCAGCCAGCTCGACAGGGGTCTGGCGCTCTGGCACCCGTGTCCCTTTTGGTTTGGACACTCTGTGTCTAAAAGATTCACCACCATTGCGATATACCTTTAGCACTATTGACATTAATTTAGTTCCAGCATATGACATATTTGCAAGGTATTCAACCAATCAGAAATTAGTTCATGAATTTGTACCTGCAACTTAAAACAATGACAAACTGAACAAGCTTTTTTTAAAAAGATAAAGTAGATTACCCCAAGTTTTTGCCATGATATAAAGTCTTCTGTACTAATCTTAAGATAAAACAGTCCAGGGTATACAAAGAGCAAGCATGTTGAAGTGGTAGACCCTGGAAAAAGATAGGACAAAAGTCTTTTAGTCTTTGTAAGCTCTATATGAATGGGTTTCAAAATGCAGGAATAGGAAGAAAATTACATGATCTTACCAACTACTCCAAAAAGTTGTCTGATGTCAGGAACATACATTGCGAGCAAAACAACAATTGCATTTAATACTAAAGTGATAAAAATGTGGTGGATTAGGGAGAAAGGAAGATGTGAAAAAAATATCATCATTACAGCTTTTCTTGCCTGTAGAATTCAAAAGATTTAAGAAGCAAGTCAATACAATAATAAAAAATAAATAGCACAAACAGCATGTAATTATTTACTGAGAGCCAAAGGTGCTTTTTTAAAAGGCAATTGGACTTTGTTTTTTCTTGAAGACGTTTCGCTTCTTATCAAAGAAGCTTCTTCTGTTCAGAACTAGTCTTAATAGTCTTAATTCAGAAATGAAGAAGCTTCTTGAATGAAAAGTGAAATGTCTTCAATAAGAAACCAAGTCCAGTTGTCTTTTGAAAAAGAACCTTTGGGACAACTATGACCTGGGTGACTGAGAATCTCCACATATATTTACTGTGATTGTAACTCCATTTGCATTGCTAACTAAACTTACTGACTGACAGCAGGGGCCAACACATTGGAAGAAATCCAACTACGTATGGATAGAAACTCTCTTATATATTAGCTTTTCCCTCTCTATAACCCTCATCCTCCAAAACAGAATGTATAAATGGGAAACTGGCCATAGGGAAATGTCCTCAATACCATTTCTGCCTACTGAGCAACAATAAAAATTGTTTTACTGGGTTACTATATTGCTTAGTTCCCAAATAGCAAAAACTTCAGGATGAGAATTTGGAAAAGGCCAAGACCAGCAGCAGTTTTGTGGTTTTGTATTAACAATAAGCTAATAAATTAAAAATAAGCTTGCAGAATATCATTAAAACTTATTTTTGCTGGCTTTCATTTACTTATTACACTGCCTGCTAACTTAAAAGCTAAACAAAAAGAAAATACACACAGATGTGCATACCAAATCTATTCTAAGAATATCATATTCTGCAAATTGCAATGCTGTAAGTCAGCTCAAATTTAAAACTATTTCTTTTTCAAACAAGCACAAAACAAATTAGTATACTGGTTTAGGTCTCATTCCTCTGTTGCTGTTAATGCTCATAAAAGACATGAACACTCTGATCTATTTGAAGTATGAGTAAGGCAGCCAAACTGTTTGTAGAGCCTGCAAATAATTAAGAATGACTTCGGCTAGACCAGCAAACCAAATATTTTGCAATACGTACAGGAAAGTGAATTAGAGGCACCGTCAGCAGCACAGCAAATAAGATTCCCAGTTTTACTGTCAGGATGACTGTATCACGGGGCAAGTACTTGCTGTATCCTTGGAGCAATTCTGAATCCACGTGGTCTGAAATTATTTAAAGTATATTAAGTAGCAACACCTAATTCTCACATTGTAAATTCCATAGGAGCTCAGTCTATTACGGCAATATTCTCCTCCGTTTTAAAGGAAGATTTAAAGGAACATCAGAAGACAAATTATTTTTTACTAAAAAAAACTATTTGAATTATTTCAGATTGAATAGTTGTTTTATTTAAAAGCAATAATAGTCAAAAGATAGCCATGAGAAACTATTTAAAATCCACAGATTTATCTAGTCTTCCTTAGGCTTAGCTATCACAAATACTTGCAGGCTTTTGTGTTTCCATGATCTCTTGATCATATAAGATGGTTCAAAGTTAAAAAAAAATGAAGGGGGCGAGGTTCAAGAATTTAAGAATATAAACTGAAACAGACATCAGTCCCATATTTGCCACATTATTCCCCTGACCACCCTGTCAATTTTTTTTCCTGGCTTTTAATCAACCTGTCTAATTAAGAGTTCATGGAAACTCAAAGGTCTACCGCTATTCTAGAAAATTTCTGTGGGCTTAATAAAGATATTCCTGTATGGATTTTGGAATGTTTTACATAAGCAGCACCAAGTTAATTAAGTGTGTTTGACTGTTTCACTTTTGTGAAAACTGGATTGATTTAATATACAGTATGTGATGAAAAAGGTGGTATATATAAACATCATAAAAACATAAACACTTATGTGTGAATGTTGTAGATCAATATATATTTGGATGCCAATTTTCAGGAATGCTTGAGGCTGCCATCAGCCACTAGCCAAGCTCATCCCTTCAAAATCAATTACGCTTTCTCAAGATGAACAATGGTTTCATTGTTACAATGTTTACAATTACAGTTATTTCAATTTTCCATCCTTCCTTGCCACATGAACCCAAACTATCTAAATATTCTATGTTATCTTGGTACGCTTAGGCAGAGAAACAAAAATAGTTCTGTAGTCAAAGAAAGCGTATGCTGGCAATTGAATTCGTAGCTTAGAGACTAAATGTCTAGAAATTGTTTCTATTTGTAAATTTGAAAAGCGTGAAGCTACAACATACATTAGTTGTTTTTTTCAGATGTTCATTACTGTTGTTTGTTGCTTAACAAATGTTACTTGGAAAACCTACTTTAGGGCACAGCTAATGTATTTACATTGATATTTCAGCTTGCATTATACACTGAGAGAAGTTCTCTGTGGGGACCCATTTCTCTTGAGGTGAATTTGCACAAGTAATTGTTCTAGGTAAAGATCGGTACCCCACTTCTAGAAGTCTATGTGACATAAAAAGCAGGAAGGACAACTTTTTTTGATTCTAAGCATTGCAGGCAATGTTGGACAGAAAGCTAGGGAAGAAGTTGAACCTTTTACCCCAATGTTGTTATAGCCCTAAAAAGGCTATCCAACAGTTAATTGATGGCCACTGGGAACCCAATCATGTTGGGAATCATGTTGTTGAGAATCATGTTGGGAAATCAGTTAAGAGGATCTACCTTTGCATTCCTCACTGAAACTGCAATGCCAACAGGGCAAAGAAGGCCCCATTAGATGGCAATCAAAGTGCCTGCATGCTGCCCACTCTGGTATGTTGAGTCCCCATATTGTGGGCTTCTGCTATTTATCTCCTATTAATAAACAAAAATGTATATTTGATAACATACTGTAAAAAGTGAGGTATCCAAATAGTGCTGACAGGAAATAAACTAGAAAGCTGAGAGCAATTCCTGTGTTGGCAACCTTTTGCATCCTGCTTTTGGATGGACTACAAAAAGGGGAAAAAAGTGGCATTATGAAAGGAATTCATAGAAACACAAATCTCTACAGATGAATGTTTAATCTGTTAACCAATGGATAACAGCTTCCTTTAACACACACCCCTTACATCCCACCCCAAGGAACAAATTCTTGGATGGAATATTATAGAGACCTGGAGAACAGCTTTTTGGAACTTTCAAAGGATTTAAATTTTTAATAATTCAATTAATTTCTTCTTCACATCTTCACATGACAGGCTTTATATTCCTTGGCCCCAAAATTCCCAGGGATAGTGACTGTTGCCATGATATAAAAAGATTCATGGTACTTAGGAAAATGTAGATAAAATATGGTTTTCTTATAACTTACAACTATAAAAGCTAAATTGTCAAAAAGGCTAAACAAAGAAAATTGCTACATTTCAATTGTGGTTCTGTAGAAAATTGCTGAAAATAACTTAGACTGATAGAACATATACTTTCCTTCTAGTCTAGATGAAGTAAAACATACTGCTCACTCTATTCAAAATTTCTAAAGATTTTTACTACCAGTTCTGTGGGCGTGGCTTGGTGGGCATGGCATGGCTTGGTGGGCAGGGCAGGGCAGGGGAAGGATACTGTAAAATCTCCATTCCCTCCCCACTCCAGGGGAAAATTACTGCAAAATCCCCATTCCCTCCCGAACAGCTGGGACTCGAGAGACAGAGAGGCAGATGAGCACAGTCAGAGATGCTATTTACCAGTTTTCCGAACTACTCAAAATTTCGGTTAGTCGTCTGTCAACTCTGGAGTAGGACTATTCCATACAGACAAGCATTCACTGTTGATTAAGTTAACCTAGTACTAGGGTTAACTCAATGAGTGTCATTAAAGTTAGGACTCCATTCCCTCCATTTCCTGGAGGGAAATACCTAGCACTGTTTTTGTCAGCCTCTGCTTCACTGGCTTGCTTTCAGTCATCAGGAAAACGGGAAGGGGGGGGGGCATGGTATTTGGGATGGGAAAATATGGTAAAGGAGTGATAGTCAAAAAGGGAGTTTTGTTCTCACCATCTTCTGCGCATGCTGATGGCCAATGTTTGGCCTTGGTCAAGGCCAACTGTCCTGCATACCAACCTGATGATGGTTCTTGGAGATGCAGCCCACATGACACCTACGGGAGTTGCAGATTGGGCAATGGGGTGGCATGGTTGGAGGGAGCGGGCTGGGCAAATGTTTGATATGTATGATTTCACGCTTTTCTGACTCAGACCTTGCTTTA